GTTCCGCCGTTGCTTTCAGCAGCGGCGGCTGGGGGGTCTTTACCGGGTTTGGAGGACGCGGAGCCCCCCCTCGCTGCGGGAGTGTTATTATTACTACCCCCCCCTGCTGGGTCGGAATTTATGGAGTTCGAAGAGGAGGCGCGAGTGTAAAGGACCGGGGGGGGGGGCGCCGTGATTGGGGAGCCTCCGACGCCGTTGGGGGGCCTGCTCTGCGCCCGGGCCAGGTCTCGCCGCCGCTTGTCGGCGTCCGCCGCCTCCGCCTTGGCCTTCTTCTCGGCATCCTGCTTCTGTTCGAGCCGGGGAGGCGTGGAGAGAGGACGAGAGGTGGGGGTTTAAGGGATGGCGATCGAGAAGAATCAAGAAACAGAGGAAATACTTGTGTTTACAAAGGAGGTGGGGTGTGTGCGGGATAGTAAGCGAGAAGGATAACTAGATAAGAGGAATTACTTGTGTCTAGGCGGTTGTCGTACACACACAGGTACCAAAAATGACAACCAAGAGCACACGCAAGAAGATGCCGCGGGCTGAAGGAAAGCAATGGACAGACGATTTCTCACCGCTTTCAGCTTATCGTGCAGATCATCCAGCTGCTTCCGGTGCTTGGCGATCTCGCCCTTGTCGCTCTTCCATCAACAAAAAAAAAGAAGCGGGAGAACAGATGCGGGGGAGGACACACAAACCACAGAAATCAGCGACAATTATACTTCAGCCACGGGACCCAACACTTTCCATCGAACAACCAACAAGTGACAGCAGCACGAGTATAGAGCTCAAAGCTTACGTGCATGCACCTCCACCACTGTCTGGAACCATCACCAAGGGCAGTGCCACCCGCGGCATGGAAACATGGGCCGGGCAGGGGTTAAGTCTACCTTGACGTATTTCCGCCTGGCAATACCGCATGATTAATGTTGCCGATTCATATGTAACGGTTCACAGCGCCCTCCGCTAGTTCAACACCATGCCAGCCTCGTCGACATTAATGCGCAAACACTCGCCCCGGCGGTGTTTGTTACCCAGGGACAAACATGTACCCCTGCGTTCAGACCACCACAAGCTTGGCCACGACCCCCCCCGCGACACAAACCCGCCGCCGAGCCACCCATGTGAAAAAAAAAAGGTAGTCGACACATGTACACCGAGTACACCAGGATCTCTTGTCCCCCCTTGTCCTACGAAACCAAGCCGTACAGAAGTATTATTGTTTTGTTCTCGTTTCTCGCCGATATTGTAAGGGCAAACGCGAACACGATCAAGGTGCACACAAGAGACGAGAAACATGTTCGAGACCCCCACCCCCCTTCGTACCCTATCCTATGTGCCCCCGCTCCTCCTCAATCAAAAAGGGCCCCTCTAGCCGGTCTATTCCCCCGGTATCGACACCAATAACCTTACCAAAAAGAGGAAAACAACCGAGACGCATCCGTCCCCTCTCCCCTCCCCTCCCCTCCCCTCCTCTCACCACCAACGCCGTCCTCCAGTGAGAGATGACTGCCTTCGCCTGCTTTCGTATGCCGGAGTCGGCGTGCTTGTTGAGAGCTTTCAATGCCTTCCCCGCGTCGGACTGCATTAGGCTTGAGTAGGTGACAGGCAGAACCTGTGTGTGAAAGAGCGCGACGTCGCGCGCGCGCGGGGTATTCAGCATCCAAGATAAGGTCATGAATAGTGCAGCCGAGTATCATATCGTGCCGATTAGTAACCCATTCCATCCCGAACATACGAAGAGACAGGGACATAGATAGCATGCCCTACTTCGGCGGGCTAGCGTGAGCCCTGGGCAGGAGCGATATCGGAGGAGATGACTGGGAGCTACCGCTACAACTACACCGGCGTCGATGCCGTTAGGGGGGCACGCGGACACGGGTGGTACATTCGCAGGGGGGCCTGATTCAGTGAAACGCACAAAGGGCCAAACTAAGAAAGAAAACGCAAACCCTTAGACCTTCCTCGTTCAAAATCGGCAGGTTTACAATGCGAGTGTCTCGCCCACCACCTACTGGATTGTCCGCCTTCTCTTGCAACGAAACTCCCTGATAGAGAGCGCTACGCTGCCGTAACGGCGACCATTAAAACAGTTCCGAAACCCTTCTCAAGCTCCAAGACCATTTGCCCACCAAAACGCTCAGCAGCTGCGGTTACAGACTTAAAAAATGTTACGAGAGCAGATACCGCGGGCTCCATGACCCTGACGTTGCTTCGTCCCTATTCGGAATGCCGGGAAAAGGAGCTCGGGACGAAGGAGGGGATGGGTAGAAGTCGCCACGGTTTCAACGCCAAAAAAAAACACAGGACAACCAATGATGACCCTCAACAACCGGTCCACGGTAGTCGCACGACACCACGCCACCGCCCCCCACAAAAACACCAGTTAACACGCCATGAAACTCAACTCCACTCCACCGCTACAAAAAGAAAACACACACACACACACCTTCGCTACCGTGAGCAGGAGCTTCATCATGTTGATGGACTTCGTCTCCTCCGCCAGCCACCCCTTGATGAACATGAGCCCCCTCCTCTCCACGAACGCCTTCATCACCTCCTCGTCGCCCTTGCTGCGCAGCAGGAGCTCCAGGCACAGCGCTCGGGCTTCTCGCTGCACGTGTTTTTCGTTTTGTTGTCGATGGCAAGCGTTAGGACGAAGGGCAACAAAGAGAAAGGGGGGGGGGGGGGGGGGTCGTTCAAAATTACTGCGCCCGTGTCAAAAAAAAGGGTTAACCGTCAAAGGCTTTCGTGAAAGCGGGGACAAAAACGAAATACCCCCCCTCCTGTCTCACTCCGGCAGTGTGTCACGTAGCTCACAAATATCATTCCATATTGCCATATTGGGGGGGGGGGGGGGGGGGGGAAAAACCCCTTTGGGGGTTTTTTCCCCTTTTTCGCCCCTTTTTCTGCCCCCCTTTTTTT